CAAAGTACATATTTCTAGTCAAATTGATTATTCTTGCCTGTGTCAGTGAAGGTGTTATTCTCTGTAAATATCTCATCATTTTGTGCTGTGGAAAAAAATGTGGTTTCACTTGTTTTTACACAAGAAAGACCAAAATGCATCAGTATCATGATGAAGCTCTCCCGAAGCTTAGAGAGGGCTCTGTTATATAGTAAAAATTGCTTTCGGTGGGGTTGGATCATTGATTCAGTCAAAATTTGTAGAGAAGTGTATAACTGAAATAAGAAATTGCTTCTCAAACTTTGCTATTCATGGATGCTGTCAGGCAGCACTTAACAGGTGTTAAAAAAGAGCAACTCTGACTTTTCATTTTGCTTGGATTTGAAGTTTTTCAATTTTTGCAGCCTCAGGAAGGGCTTCAGAGATTATGGCTGAGCACAAATGGTAGTTTGAAAATCCTTGAGTTGAAAAGATAACTTGAGAAAAACAGGATTTGTAAAATATCAAAGTACATTGCTACAAAATTGAAAGTGAATCTGTTGGTTTTTTACCTTGGAATAAGTTTTAGAAGTATATTTGAAATCCATTTTATAGCTTTATATTGTGGGGATTATGGAGTAACTCAGAAAAAAATGCAAATCGCTTTGTCTGCAAGGAATCTTTATTTCCCATATATATATATTATGAAAATTAGTTGGTCAATCCTATTATTTTACTTCCTTCCTTCCCATAAGCTCTGAATATTTGGTGTAGATAATTCCACAGCTTCTCTCTTATGCCACATCAGAAGAAGTTTTGTCAGGTCCAGTTTGCCTAAAACCAAGGATGTCTGTAACTCCACACTGTGATCATAAAAGATTTACTGAAACATGGTGAGATTTGCATCAAGAGTCTAAAATAGCTATTATTTCTATTTATTTTAACCATTCATTATTTACGTGTTGTTTTTTTTTTTTAAGTAGCCTTAAGGAAATGCCTTGTTTAGCTATTTTCACTGTTATATAAAAAACAAATATATGGATGAAATCAGTCTTATTTTTTGAAAGGTTAGTAATCACAGGAAACTGATCATTTGCTTGGCAGGCAGATTGATAACATACCCTGTTAAGGAAGTTTGTTAATGTAATTAATTACTTATGAGTTCAGGTGACTTCCATTTTGTTAGCCATGCCAAAGACCAACCAGAGCCACGAGTCAGTACCAGGGTAGTGTAAAGGCAACAATCCACGGTTTCATCATTTGGAATTGCTGACTGGGGAGTGTGAAAATCTCTTTGCAGTTTTTGATTATCTAAAACTTAAAACTTAGATATCTTTCTGTAATCTGATACACATTAATAGTTATTTTAAGTATCTGAAACTCTGCTTCTCCTGTTGAAATTACATTGCAGCCTAACACTGAAAGTATCTGATTAGCTGCAGAAGTGTAGGAGATGGAAAGGTTCAAAACTCAGGGTTAATATAATGTTTCCTTACCTCTGTAATTTCAGTAACATACAACTCTCTCTGGCTGAGCTGTTTCCTGTACATATGCTTCCCAGATGTGTCTGATGTTCAGAAACACTTCAGTTTGACTTGGAATAACTTCCGTTGTCTGACTAGGATGTTGTTTTCTTTCTCCTTGCAGACCAGAATTTTTCTTATTTTGCTTTTACTCCGTTTCTAGGCCATTTACTGAGTGAGAAATCGTGAGTATCCATTCAAGTGAGTGAATTCACATTCAAATACTATTAACAGATAAACGCATTTGTTGACTGACTTGTAGGCACTTAAGGGCAGGATTTTGGCACTGTCCTCAGCTCCAGTTATTGCTGTTTAATGGAAGAAGCTAAACTTTATCTTTCTTCATGAAGGAGGTAGCATTTAAATTCTCTTTGTGCTACCGTAACCTCCTGGGCATCAGTGAAGAGCCTAAACTCATACTTTCTTTGTAGAACCCAACAGCTACCATGGCTTTTCAGATCTAAACCAAATCTGTTGGCAAGGGCATGAACAGCCTCAGAGGAACCTACTCCTCTGCCTAACCTATCTACCAGAAATATGGTGGCATTATATGGCATCATGGGTGGGACTGTAGTTCACAGAAGGCAACTGTGACACCTCTGTATCACAACTGGGGACATTTAATAGTGTTAGAAGACCACAGGTCTCAGTGGAGAGCTGATGACATCATTCCTGTGCTTGAGAGTTCCAGAAACTCATGAAATGGTAGCTTCTGTTTTGCTTTCCCAATTCTACCAACTGGGATTTTTCTTCAGTGTCATCCCTTCAATGGGTTTGCTGGCTGAAGCATGGAATTTGTTTTGCAGTAGTGCCACATTCATGGAAGTGAGGAGCTTGAGATTCAGTGTGAGAGTTTGCTTCTTTAAAGCCATCACTTGTTCTCATCCTTGCTTTCACAGTCTGCTGATAAACTCTCTTCACCTGTGTCATAGTCTGTCAATTGGGATAAATCTTTACTTAGGGCATGCTCTGCCTTTAAAGCCAGCAGAATCATAGCCAGCAGGTGGTTCAGCCCACAGGAGAATCTATTCCGTGGGGCTGGGGCTAGTTTGAGTCTTAAGCCTTCAACATTGGGCTCTATAATGGAGAAGAGCAGAAATTTTAAAATTACGCTTAGATCCGTGAAGAAAGATTCGTGTTGGCCCAGACAGGTTGGTTGAGAAAATCACCAAGGAATGGGACCATAGGATTTATATTCCTAGGAACCTGGTGACTCCCAAGAACTTGGGGGAGATTCTACTTCGGTAGAAGTTAGCAGCATAATAGTTATTGTGGCACATCAAAGGAAACTAGTGATTGCTCCTGACCTTAAAATCATTGAGCTTGAGCCTGGAGAAGGACTGTTCCCTTCCATGTGGTCTTCCATGTGCTCAGAGAAGTCCAGTGATATAAACTAAAATTTCAGTTTTGTCATCTTAGACATTCTTATTCCACTTCCTATATAATGTTCTTTCTGATACTATTTCTTTTTATAAGATGATTTAGCTGCTCACCTTTAATATAGGCAACAGAAGTATTAGCAAGGTTGAATATTTTTTCCATATATGTGTTTTCTTTTCATTTCTCACTTGTGCTCTTGTAGAATACTCTTCCTGAAATGGGCTTTCTGTATTTCTGAACTTTTCGCTCTGCACTGAGGAATCATATCGTAGAACCATTCTTGTTGGAAGAAACCGTCAGGGTCATCGGGTTCAACCATTAACCCAGCACTGCCAGGTCATCACTGAACCACGTCCTTAAGTGCCCCATCATAGCACTTTTTTCTCAAATTCCTTCTAAATGTATGTTAGGTGGTATAACTGGAATTTCTGATTGAATCATAGAATCACTGGGGCTGGAAGAGAAGGCCCTTAGGAGTCCAACTGTTAACGCAACACTGCCAGGTTCACCACTAGCTACATAATCATTGCACTACTCTGGGATAGTGTTGGACTATGAAGAGTTCACCCAACTTTCCACTGAGTTTTCTTCCTCTGTTTCAAACCAAACCCTAGAACCGGTGAGGTTGCTTAAACATGACAGAACAGACTTTGGTGAGGAGGATTCTGGTAATGCCAGTGATGTGTCGGAAGATACTAAACTTCTGATGCCAGCTCTTGATCAAGAACAACGCTGCCTGTTTCTTACAGAACCCATAAGGGAATTTTTATATAGTTTCTCTTCACAATATAACCATATCTTAAGAGTTCAAGGAGCGTTCAAACTCTCTGTTCTTCTGGGAGTAAGAAGAATAGCTCACATTCTTTCAAAAGTAAATAACTTGCAAGCTAACCCATAGCCATCTGTCCTCTACCAGTGCCAGTGGCCGTTGTCCTGCTGGCCACCAAGTCAGTGGTTGCTGTGCTATAGCTTTGCATTAAGAGAACACAAAAGCTGAAGACAGCATGAACATCAGGTGCTGGCATTTTTTTTGTACCAAATTTTTTAGGTTTGTGGTTTTATGTGGTTTTGGGGTTTTTTTAGTAATAGTGCAGTACTGTTCTTAGAAACAAATAAGCATCCATACCCCAAAGGGAACCATTAAAGGAGTCTTTGCAACATGGTCAACTTCAACAGACTTAATAAAAAAAATAGTCTGGAAGTTGTCCTGAGCCTGTTACCGTTTTTTTGTTGGATTTTTTTTTTGATGTGGCTTCATGAATTCCTTTTATTCTTCTTCTTTTTTTTTTTTTTTTTTTAATTTTTGGTGCAGATGTTGTGCTCCTGCATACCCTGCCAAGATGGAACTTTCCGTCAAGAGCGTGTTGTGCACCTTTTCTCTTCTAGAGCCTCTGGCTTACCTGTTGAAAAAGACAGGAATG